TAAAGAAGTATTTTAGATCTTAATATTTTCAAAATTTTTGTTACTAAGGTCCACCTTCATCTAAATTAATATATGGAATGAATTTGACCCACATTAAATTACAGCATCATCTACAGAGGTGAGGTAAACTAAAAATTACAAAAAATCTAAAATCTATTTATTTTGATTTATGCTATTAATTAAATTTTGTTTCTTTTCTTTATTTTCTTCGGTAGAGTAGTCTTGCTTATTAAAGTCATGAACTTTTATTTATTTTAGAATATTTTTAATTTTCATTATTTTTGTTGTTACAACATCCATTTTCCACCACATATCATAAGGTTTCAAGTTGTTATATTTAAAAATATATTATTTATAATGTCTCATATTTCGATTATCTGATAGAAATTAAATGCAATCTAAGACTTTTTCCTTTTTTAATATTTCTAATATAACACCAAATATTTGCTCATCTACATCTTTTATTTGACCAAAGATGTCAGCTAGAGCTTCCTTCTCTTAAGAAGGGCCTGACATATTCTTTTTTATTTTTAATAATGAATTTTATTACTCTAAATTTAAGTTATATACTTCAAAATTGATAAAAGTTTTTTATGTATTTTTAAAGTCCAGACATTGTAGATATGAAATTGATTATAATAGAGGTAAATTATGCTATTGAGAAATCATTTCAACATATGCATAGCTTTATTCTTTAATAATATAGAATATCTAATTTTGTTTTAATTAATTTATATATAATTTGACTTCTATAAATTATTTTTTGACCGCAAATTCTCTTGAGAGATGACAGCCTATATCTGAAGGGTCATACTAAGTTTTCCGCATAAACATAAAGTCTTGAAAAAAATATTACTTTTGCATAAAAATTATTATTCATAAATATAAATAATCATACCATATCTATTCTATTAAAATTCTATATAATATTATTAACATCTATATGAATGATTTATTAACAAAAAAGAAAATATGAGTGATAAAAATGATTGTTTTAAATTATTAAGTTTCTAAGTTCAATTTTTTTCTACTATGTAATTGTTATAACATGTAAATAAAGAAGCATTTTACAATATGCATGAATCCAAAGTCAAATTTAAAATTTTAATGTTTAATGTTTAACTAGCTTTTAGAAAATTAAAATAATTAGAAATCTATAATAGTACAATTCGAAATAAATAATGATGAATTTCTAATGGTTATGTTAATAATTGTAAAATTTTATAAATTGATCGATCCAAATTGTTATGCATAAAATACTGGTGTGATATTAATAATGTATTCTTTTGCAATTTATCATTGTTAGATCAATATGATTATGGCTATTCAGCAACAAAATATTTTCTTATAAATGTTCTAGAAAAATTAAATTAATTAAATTTACAGCATAAAAATCTTCAAGTTATCTTCTATTTGTAAATATAAAATAAAATGGATTTCCTGATATTAAATTTAAATACTTATTTATCTAATTATTTTAAGTATTAGATTTTATCTTATTGTGTAGCATTTAATTTAATTTTACCGACTACTCAGATATTTGATGACTATTGTTATATTTTGATTTAATCAAATAAGAAATTTCTTTAGAAGTTCCCCTTGAGAAGTCAAATAATGTAATTTAAAAATGATTAATCTGATTTTCTATAATTTATGTTTATAAATTCAGTGTTAAACATAACCAGAATTTCCAAATAGATATTTTATTCTTCTTAATAATTTACCACTACTTAGTAATCAAACACTATATCTGTTCTTTGGGCATTCTCTTCTTCAATTATAAGGTAGTTTTAAAAAATGATTTATTATGAGTTAATATCAATTTATTTTTTTCTTTATTTAATAACTTTACAATTTTCAAGATAAATTAATATATTCGTATAACTCTATGCTAATCAAGGCAAGCATTAATAAAAATGATTTGAAATATAACATGAGATTAAAATCGAATTTAATATAAATTTCTTTTTCTTACTGCATATCAATCTAATCTGCATTGACATGGAACATTTTCTCATTTTTCCATATAAATATATACTATTAATTGTATCCATTTTTTAAATAAAAAATTTTTATCCCTCTAAATTTTTAAAGATGTATTCTTTCTTTTTTTAAAGATCGATTATTAAATAACTATCCCAACAATCTCCAGAAATATGATAGTTTGTATAATAAAAGTCATTACATTATAAACTACTTTCAATAATGATTGCTTATATTTTAATTTTAAATAGTTTTATTCTAAAATAGATTCTTTTTTATCCTAATGTTCCCCTTTATGCATAGTACTTACTTCTGATTATCTTCCCAAAAATTGCTAAATATTATAAATCATAAGATAATTCAAAATTAAATACCTGAAAACTATATTTATTATTTTATTGTTTATTATCTTAATTACTGAAATTATATTTTCCACAAAACCATGGCATCCATAATTTTAGTTTTTTATTACATATTATATATTAATTTAATATATTAATAAATTAAATAAACTTATCCACTAATATGTTTTTAACAATATAAAATTTAAGAAAGTAATTAATCACCTTTTCATGATTTTTTTAATATTATTCAATTTTGTTAATTGTCTTATAATCAAACTAAGACTTGGATTAAAGTAATTCATTTATAATTAATTAATTGTGTGATTTTTATCATCATATAGATATTTTCAGGGTATTAGTAATGGAATTTAAGAATTTACAAAAAAAATACCGAAATGATATTTTTAGGGTTTAGAAATATTTGTGGAGAATTTTCAAAATTTTATTATTGTAATAACTGGATTAAAAATTTCCTGTTCATTAATATTCTCAACTTATCATATCCAACTCAATTCTCTAAATAAATACATGAAATCATTATGATTTATTATTTTCTCCTTTTTAGATAAAGATACTTTTAATGTAACTATAAGCTACATGGATATGATTTAAGATGTTGATTAATAAAGATTTTAACCTGCTAAACTTATGCATATACTATATTTAAGAACCTTATTAAATTTCCCCAATATAATTACATAAAAAATCAAACTTTGATATATAATTACATTGATGAATGTATCTAATCAATTGCAACTTTTGCTGGTATAAAAATTAAAGAAAATAATGTTAAAGATAAACATATTTTTTTTAAAAGTAATATTAATCTCTTAACATCTTATTATCAAATGTAGATAAACAGAACATTATCAATATCTTTCACTTCTATTTGGATTCAAAGGAACATTACTGTAGAAAAAAAAGTTTAAAATTATTCTTAATTTCAAATCTATATAATATGATAACTTATCCAAAAAATTTATCTTAGATTTTTATACACAATAATTTAAATTTCATATTCCTACCTTTTATAGTACTGAAGTTTACCCTTCTAATTATCAAACTGAGCTTTATGATATTTTCTCTAATTACGAAGCTTTAGCAGGATCAGTTTGGATACATTAATTTGCTAGTCTAAGTAATAGATTAAAATAGATTAGTAGTAGAATAAGGTTCAAACCAGGAGACAAGTCTGTTTTGGTATAAGTTAAAAGGAGAGCGTCACTTCAATCTTTATACATTTCCTAAATTGGAACCTTGAGTTATACTCTAAAAAATGAATCCATATAATATTTTTGAGTATATGTAAACTTGTAATAATCCAAAATTTTATGGAATACAATATATAGACTAGATACCTATTGATAACAACTTAATTGAAAGCCTCAAACGTTTTTCTCTTCTCAACCAATTCCAAAGAATTTTAAATCCTGGTCACTAGAAATTTAAAATCTTATAAAAAACAAGGGTCGATTATGAACACTCTTAAGTTAGATGATTAAAATATCATATAATGTAGAAAAATAATTTTATCATTTTGTATACTAGGCCTTGTTAAAATAAAAGGAATATAAAAAACTTTAGATGACTAGACCTTTCTTAAAAAATTATGATGAAAGCTGATTGTGTTTGGAAATTCTTTTGGAGGATGTAAAATTTATCATTCAGAGAATTTATTAGACTATCTTGAGATTTGGAGATCGAATAACTTTAACTATCAATTGAGTAGAAAATTATTGAAAATTAACTTATAAATAATATTTTATTACACTGATGGATTTCTTAAAATTAACTAACTTACATCCTTCACATATTTGAATTAAAGTTAAGTTTTATAAAGCAATTTCTGATGGTTGCAATTTTTCATTTTATTTACTTATTATACATCATCACTTATCAGTACAATTTATTAATTATTAATGCTAATATATTAGTTTAAATATTTTTTATCTATTAATAAGTCTTGATATTTTGAATATGTTTTATTTCTAAAAGATTTAGAAAATCAAATCTTAAATCAAAATGTATTCTTATAAACCAAAAAATGATTAAATTGAAGAGAAATAAAGAGTTAAAGTAAGTAAAATATTTTTGAATTGTAGAGTTAATTTTAAATCAGTAGAATAGAGTAAGTAATCTAGGAAGAGAGTGATAATAAATTAGAAGATGATAACTATCTGTTTAGAGATTAAAATTAGAATCCAAATTCGATGANCTAGTCTAAGTAATAGATTAAAATAGATTAGTAGTAGAATAAGGTTCAAACCAGGAGACAAGTCTGTTTTGGTATAAGTTAAAAGGAGAGCGTCACTTCAATCTTTATACATTTCCTAAATTGGAACCTTGAGTTATACTCTAAAAAATGAATCCATATAATATTTTTGAGTATATGTAAACTTTTAATAATCCAAAATTTTATGGAATACAATATATAGACTAGATACCTACTGATAACAACTTAATTGAAGCCTCAAACGTTTTTCTCTTCTCAACCAAATTCAAAGTATTTTAAATCCTGGTCACTAGAAATTTAAAATCTTATAAAAAAACAAGGGTCGATTATGAACACTCGTAAGTTAGATGATTAAAATATCAAATAATGTAGAAAAATAATTTTATCATTTTGTATACAAGACCTTGTTAAAATAAATGGAATATAAGAAACTTTAGATGACTAGACCTTTCATAAAAAATTATAATGAAAGCTGATTGTGTTTGGAAATTCTTTTGGCGGATGTAAAATTTATCACTCAGAGAATTTATTAGACTATCTTAAGATTTGAAGATCGAAAAACTTTAATTATCAATATAGTAGAAAATTATTGAAAATTAACTTATAAATAATATTTTATTATTCTGATGGATCTCTTAAAATTAACTAACTTACATACTTCACATATTCGAATTAAAGTTAATTTTTTTAAAGCAATTTCTGATGGTTGCAATTTTTCATTTTTACCTATTATACATCATCACTTATCAGAAAAATTAATTAATTATTAATGCTAATATATTAGTTGAAATATTTTTTATCTATTAATAAGTCTTGATATTTTGAATATGTTTTATTTGTTTTTAATAATATACCATTTTATTTGGAAATAAGTGTTTTAATCAGAAGTACTTCATTAAAACAATTTATTAATTTAATAACTATCTAAAAGATCAAGAAAATCAAATCTTAAATAAAAAATGTATTCTTATAAACCAAAAATTATTAAATTGAAGAGAAATAAAGAGTTAAAGTTAGTAAAATATTTTTGAATTGTAGAGTTAATTTTAAATCAGTAGAATAGAGTAAGTAATCTAGGAAGAGAGTGATAATAAATCAGAAGATGATAACTATCTGTTTAGAGATTAAAATTAGAATCCAAATTGGATGATGATAGTTTTAGTGTTTGTTAAGTATCCTTCTCTTCTGATAGTACTACTTTAGCATCTGTTATTGATATAAGGTCTATTCAATTATGGGATGTTAAAACAGGATTATAAATTTAACCCTCAAATAATCACTATAAAAATTTATTTGCCTAATTTAAAGTTGTTTTATGAACTAATTCCTTTTCGGAATCCAGTAATAATGTTAAATAATTTCGTTAAATTTATTTTAACAATCTTCCTTAATCCTAATCACCTTTAGTTTAATCTTTAGGTACTTTAATTTTTACAGGAGAATTTATAAATTATTAATTCATAGATTCTTATACTTATTTAAATCAAAATTAGAGTCATCAAGAGCTGCCATTCTTTCTAATTCATGAATTAGATGTAGAATTTCATTATATTTCTCATCTTTGACAAAATTTCTAAATGCATTCTATAACTATGTTAACAACATAAGAACTTTATTTTGATTATCCATTTTATTGAATATATCAGGCTAATTTCAAGAAAGATATCTTTTGTGAGGATAACTTCAAATAAAAAATAATTATCATCAGTTCAAATTGCTTTCATGCAATTATACATTGATTACTTATTGGATTTTCATATGCATATATTTGCATGGCAGATATTAGAAATGCATTAAAAATCCTATTAGCATTTAGCTCACCAAAAAGTTTAGAGGAGGACTTCAGAACTGAAAAAATATGGTCATTAGAAAAGTCTAATTGGAAGTGAATAATACTCAAATTGCAGAAAATTCAAAAGAACCTTAAGAATATTTATAATATTATTTATTTTATTATCTAATTCACTTATATTCCCTAATTTCACATCATATTAGTACACTTTTTATTCTAATTTTATTGTCTATACATATGAGAATTGAGACTTTCAATTAAGTTTTACAGTAACTTTTTTTAATTTACTTTTCTATTTTTTGAGATAATTCCCTTTCCAATTGATTTATTCTTCTCTTTTATTGGTAATTTTTATATTATAATGAATCTATATATATAAAGGTTTTTATTTTCTTAATAAAAAAAAGTCTTAATTTCTTATTTTTTTATAGATATTACTATTATTTTTGATCTGATTCTAATTTTTCATTTTCTATTCTCTGTAATTTGACTATATATTTTTAAACTGAACAATTAATTATAAGTATCCCTTCTTTTATGGATATATTTAATCTTTATTTTCATTATCTGTACACTCTACTATTTACCTTATTGTATCTTCACTTGTATAAATTAATTATTGCAATAAATATAATATTTAATTCTACTTTAATTTATATTAAAATAAATAGCAGCATAAAGTGAATTTTTGTGATAATTTAATCCATTTATATTTTTACATAACAACAATAGAATTTAACTAAAATTAAAAATTAATAATAATATTTTTGAATCTGGAATTATTTAAAAGGTTAGTTAAAGAATCTTCAGTTTTTAAGAACATAGATTTCTCAGAGTATTTTAACTCACATTAGAAAAAGAATTATCTTTTCATAACTCAGGTAAAATATGAAAAACGATTAAAGTTAAGAAATTTAAATATATGAATTATAACATTGAAGGATTTGAAATATAATAATGATGAATCAATCATATTTCGAAATTATGTTGTGTAAAAGCTTTATATATTCTGATCAGGACATAAATGTTTACAAGTTTTCAAACGAAACCTATTTTTGAATTTTTAATCTGTTGCTAACTTTAAACTGGACCGTTTGATACATAGTGATATTTGATTAATATCAAGAAGCGACTTAAGACCATAATCCTAAAAGTTAACAGCAGAATTCATCTTATTACAGGGTACCTTTCTGGTAAAGAGTAAGGTTATGAGATTTTACACCATATCAAAGTTCATATAAAGTCAATAATTATTATCAAGCATCTAAAATATGATAAAGCTCTATTAATAAAATTGTTTTATTATGAAATATGATAAGATCCCACTTTTTAGATGTGATTTTTTTCAAATGAGCCTGTAGCCATATTTATGCTAATGCTAAACACCTGTTACGATTGTGCAAGGCATTCGACCATATTTAGGGCTAGAATGATAAATTGTGCTAGTATCCAATCTTAATCTAATTTAGTGTAGCTAGAATGCGCTAAACTTCTTGAGGTAGTGTATACCTTATCCTAAAATTCTGAACTAGTATGTATATTAGATGCAAAAGTAGTATTCGATTATGTTTATAATTTGATAATCAGCATGCAAGCAATATTTATAATTGTCCCATTAGTGGATTCTAATACTTTAATGGAATTATAATGTTGTTATATTTATTACTTCCAAAATTTGAATGAAATTTTTTCTAAATAGTGAGGCTTGAGTTCAAATATTTTATAAATTACTATATGATATTCTGAAGAAGACCAATAATTGTTTTTATATATTATGTGCCACACAAAGCTACTTCAACAATGCCTACATTCTCAATTTTAGATCAAATTTTTTTTTACCCATAATAATATAAAATCAATAACAATTTAATTCACCAGAGATATTATTGCTTTAATTTATTAATAATTATCTTGAATAATGAGGGCCTCAAAAAATTGATCCTTTATAACTTAATTGAATTTTTTAATTCATAATACTTTTTGTAGCCATCCAAGTAAACAACAGCAAATTTTATAACTTGAGCTACGCCTTCAACAAGCTAGGTCTCTCTAAATAGTCAATATTCACCACTTAATATTATTATTATTTTAATGTTCTAATTTAATAATTGTCTAATTTCTTGTTACTTGATTAAATATAATTGATCCATAAGTTTTAATTGAAATATTTTTATTTCATCTTTTAACTGTTACCCATCTCTATGTATTGTAATTTAAATATCATTATTTATGGGATTGAAAATAAATCAATTTAGTGGGGAAATAAATTAAAGGTTTCATATGTATAAGACCCAAAATATTTAGATACATCTCTGAAAATCATAAATTCTTTTTTAGTCAAAATTTTTAAGTCTAGTTTTGGTGTTTACAGATTTTATTAATCATCATCTAAAACAACTAATGCAATTTGTTTAGTTGTTTTCAAATCGATCTTATAATTTTTAATGATACTACCCTTAATTTTGGCATATTTTGGTTAAATTTATAGAATTGATCAGGAATTTAAACTCATAACATAAAAATCTATTCAAACAAATGCTACTCGTCATATTTAAATTATATTTCAAATAAAGATATTATTTAATTGAATATTTTAATATTCCTAAATATTGAATTGTCTTTTCAGCAATATGAAATTATTCATAAAAATACACATATTATAAATTAGCGATAAAATATATGGAAGGGGGGGTGTGTAAAGAAGGTATTACTGCAGATTTTTGTCCTTAAGACTTTTAATTGTTTGATGTACCATTTAAATTTAAGACATGTTCAAATGGATACTATATGTGTCAGAATAATATAATTATATAAGTCTTAATTCTAATAAACATTCATCTGAAGCTATTGATCACCATTATGTAATGTAAATAGTTGGTATTATTTAAATTTTATGATAAAACACCTTTGTATCAACTTTAATTATTTAGTTTAAGACATTCTAGATTTTGCTCAATTTCATGAATAATATGCTTAATCTACACAAATCTTTTAAGACATAAAGTTAATAAAAATTTTAATTTGATTTAATCATATTTAATATTCATATAAGTATGGTTTAAGAATTTTTGAGGGCTTTTCATTTATGCTAGAGCTAAATATTAAAGGATTCATAAACTTGCCCTTGCAAAGTTTGTTTTTAGGATAGTTGTATCAGTTTCAAAGGAAACCAATTTTTAAATGGAATAAATGTCTTAACCTAGGAATGAATTATTCAGTAAGAAACTACTAATTTTAATCCTCAGATCTAAGAATAATTTAAACCTTTAAGTTTAATTTTTAAGTTCATAAGCAGGTTGGCTCACGAGTGGTGATTATGAATACAGTTTTTCAGTATTTAAGCTTAGATATTCAAATGTTAAAAACCTTTTAATTAATCTAATTATGAGAAAGGAACTTATAATTTGGAAAATATATTGTTATACCAGTTTTATAATAGATTAAATCATATAATAACATTTACTTAGGTTAGAATAAATAATGTTGTGAAATGAAGAAATTCAACAAAGGAACTTGTTGATTTTGGTTTGAGATTGTCAAAATCAATCATAATCGAAATTAGTTTGATTTTGTAAAACCTGAAATTAATTATTACAAACAATATTTGAATATTCCCCATTTAGGCTATTATATATCACATTTTTAGGCTATTGATTAATTATTATAGTAATAAAAAATTATTAAATTATGCAACATCTTTCATTAATGAATATCTATTATTGTTTTATTAGATTTTGTCTAAGAGTAAGGAGTTATTGAAATATATCAATTATGTTTCATCAAATTCTTGTAATTAAGTATTTTATTCATAATAAATAACAGTAAACAATCTTTATTTTTATGCATAGATTTCACACTTCAATGGCTAACAAAAAACTAACAATGTTTAATATAATGCAGAGTTTGGCAATTCAATTAATCACTTTTCATGCTAAAGAAAATGATGCTATAAATTTTCAAATAACTCTATCTGCTACTTTTATAATTAGTATAAAGTAGGGTCTTTTATAGTCTAGGACACAATATCTTTCATTACAAAAGAATTGAAAAAAAGTTCTTATTTATTAATTGCTTAATCTTTCCAAAACTCATAGGTGTTAATAATTTTGCAATCACAAAAAAGTCTCAATTAGAAGCAAGTTGTATGTTATAACTGATAATTCAAGTTAATTCAATTTAATATCATTTTAATTATTGTTGAGAAAATTTTATCAAAAAATTTTGGTCAAATTTATAAAGTACATTACTTTGTTACATTACTCATACTACCTGAAAAATTATATCACATTATCCAAATGTTTTTTTTCCTTTTTTCAACTTTTGAATATTTTATTTCTAGATAACATGATTAATTTGCATATAAAGAAGTTATAGTATGGCTTTTCCGAGAATATTATATATATATTACTGATCTAATATATTTTGAATAAATCTTTGTTTTAGTTATCTGTAATCCTAATTTGATTTAAAGTAATGGTAGATTATGCTATTTTAATTTCGCTATCATGTTACATCAAATAATTCAAATTATTATTATACATTTATAAAGACTCATGGCAGATCCAAAAACAAAAAATTATAGAGTAATTAAAATTTTATGCTTTATTAATTCTGTTTCCATAAAAAGCATAAAATTTTTAATTTGTTATGATAAGGCAGGGTTTTCATTACTACTTAACTAAATTAGATTCTGATAAAAATTTACTTAAACCTGTAAAATTTTAGAAAGAATCCAAATAAATGCTCCTCTTCTTTTCTTTCCTTTGCTTCAATAAAAAAAATGTAAAAAAGGTTCTGTGATCTTCTAAAAGCCCTTAAATAAAAGCAAATTTGTAAATAAAATAATTATTTTCATTCTACAAAGTCAAAATAAAACCTTAATAGTTTGAAAGGTTAATTTGTAAATTCTAAACTATACTTTATTTATAGTTTACAAGAAATTTATTCTGCTAATGTTCCTTTTCTCACATCGTTACAAATTACACAATTATCTTATTTCTGAAAATTCCAGATCCACAGCTAGAGATGAAAACCCTATTACATAATCAAACTCTAATTTTTTTTCAGAGATTTCATCAATATCTATATCATTTCTTTGTTTATAACAATTTTCAATTTTACAAAATAGTCTTATTTGGCTCTCAAATAATATCTGTGTTTGCTAACAATTTAACAATCCCTATGTAATTCAAATGATGGTTTAAGAAACAATCAAATTTTTTCTTGCATCGTATTTAAAACAAACTAATCAAATTCAATTACTAAGATTTACACTTCACTATCTTTTCCATCATTACTAAATCTTAATCAATTAATTTCTTTGGAAATTTATTCATGCACTTAATTAATAGATTTTATACAATAAAAAATTTTTGAAATTTATTTAGTCAAAATAGTTATTTGCGCAATTTCTTTTCATTGACCAAAATAAATGGCTTTATAAATGTAATTTCATCCATCATTACTTTCTATTATTACACAAAACATAATTCTAAAGTAAATTGAATAATATATAAACTAAGCATATGAAATACCTTTATTATATTCTTTACAACTTTCAAACTTCATCTAGTTTTCTTTCCAAATACTCATATAGCGATTATCATCTGCTCTAAGAAATTAATAAACCTCCATAGTTTATTCTTGAATTATTTCTTAATCAATGATATTCTTTCTTACTTTTATTGGTTTTTTAAATAAAGCATTATTTAGTTCCATTTCCATTTGAACTCTTAATTTTAAAATTATTCCATTATAATCGTATACTTAGTCAAGTTTTATTTAATATAATTTGATCTTTATTTGGATAAAAGCTGAAAACTAATTAAAATTAATATTAAATGAATCTACATTATCAATTTATCATCTTTAGATTATTCACCTATGACTTTAAACTTTTTGGTTATTTTGTGTTCCTCTTTCATCATTACTTTGATCTCAGAAATTTTCTTTCAGCCTTAGTTATTAATTGCTTGATATACATAGCTTCAACTAAATCTTTTACTATTCAATTAATCATCAAAGTGTCTATCTATTCTCTTATAAATATGTATAAATATATTTGAAAGTAGGAATGCTAAATTAAATAGATATTTATATATAAAAGAAATTTTGGACTTTTAATATTAAAGGTTTCTGTTAAATTATAATAGAAATTAATAAATAAAAATATCTAAATAATTTTGGAAATGAATAGTCAATAGATTGTTGTTTAATTGGAAAATAAAGTTTAAGAATGTCTTTAAGGAGTTTAATAATAGTTAGATGTAAGTTATTATAGATAATGATTAGTCTTCTTTCAAAACAATTGATGATTTTCTTGATGAACTTCTTCTTGTTCCTTATCCAGCAGTTGTTCCTTAAAACACTGTTAAATTTGTACCACCAGTTACTTAAATATCTTTAACATCAATAGAAACATTAACTAATTAATTAATTTAAGAAGTCAAACCTTTAATCAATCTAACTATTCATAAACAAATTAAAAACAATCAAATTTAACTTTAATAATAATTAATACAAACTTAGAATATATAACAAAATACAATCATAAACAATCATCATTAATTAAATATAAAACCATTTACTTATAATTTATTATAGAATAATTCAATTTAATAGAATGAATATTGTTTTACAATAGCTATTAATAAAGATAATTCAATTGTATTAGCTGG